CGCACAGGGAGGCCGGAGCTGGAATTGAACCCAGTACCTCTGCACTGTGAAGTCGACGTGCTAACCACTGGACTACCGGGCCGTCTGCATTCAAACATTAATTCATAAATGTATATCATGTGATTTTATTTCTTTTTCTCAGTATAAATAACACGTACCCTGACTGTTCGACTCTTTGAATAAAAACACTTCATTCAAGCGTTAGGGAGTGCAAAGGGTTATGATGGAGGGGTGTTGCAAATCATGAGGACCTGCCAAGTGGTATGATAGCATTGTTTTATACATGTCCTTGGCCTCAGTTTCAAAATCAGTCCTTGGTCCTTGGCCTTGGCCTCGGAAGCAAGTCCTTGGTCCTTGGCCTTGGCCTTGGCCTCGGAGGCAAGTCCTTGGCCTTGGCCTCGGGTTGCCGGTCCTTGGACACAACACTGGTATACACACACACACGCACAGTATATCCATCCATTTTCTGAACCGCTTTATCTTCACAATGGTCGCGGGGGCTGCTGGAGCCTGTCCCAGCTGTCTCCGGGCAGTCGGTGGGGGACACCCTGAACCGGTTGCCAGCCAATTGCAGGGCACACATAGATGAACAACCATCCACGCTCACACTCACACCTAGGGACAATTTGGAGTGTTCAATCAGCCTGCCATGCATGTTTTTGGAGTGCGGGAGGAAACCGGAGTACCCGGAGAAAACCCACGCAGGCCCGGGGAGAACACGCAAATTCCATAGAGGAAGGCCGTCGCACTGTTAGGTCAACGCGGTCACCACACGACACTGGGCCGCCTTTGCTTTTCATTGTAGTTTTTTTTTTTTCTTTTAATGCCCGCAAAAAATCAACTTTCAAGCTCCAGAATCAAGACTTGCTCTCTGAAGAATCAGGATTGTGCCCCGCGGAATCTGCAGATTCATAAGCGGGTTCGATAGTGTGAGGCAGGAAGAGTTTGAGACACATTGACATGCAGTGCAATCACACAAATCAACAAATGCAAGATGATCTGTGCTGTTTAGCAGACTTTACTTTCAAATGGTAATTTAAACCTTGCTGCAAATCTGGTTGGTTTTAATTTTTCCAGTCAAATGTGGAATTCCTTGTGTGTTCTACATACTTGGCCAATAAAGATGATTCTGATTCTGAACTGATTAAGAGGTTTGGAATAATAAGCGGAGCAAATGTTTTGATGATGGTAACTTTACAGTGTGTTTGATTGCACTTGTTATAAATTATGTATTTCTGGTTTTGTTTCATATCCCCCCTTTGGCAACAAAAGTGGAGCAATAACTGATGTGCTTTCATAATGAGGCACTGATGGCCAGTTTTGTATTGCACAATGACTTTGACTTCTTATCCCTATTTTTTTTTTCCTGTGTGTTTCACGACTGCAGTTGTCACCCCTCTAGCTATTAAAGCCTTCTCCTTGGAAAACGAGAATGTAGCAAATAAAGCTCCTTGCCATTGACTCTTGCACTGCCATACACTCTCCAGGGTTCATATCATTTCCAGTGCATCTCATATCATTGCCAGTGCATCTAATGACAGCTGCCAACTGCAGCATCTTGCTTTATGAATTTCCCCAAGGGCAAAGTCATGAGCACTCCTTTAGTTGTCTTTGGACACTGATGCCCATCTCTCTGTGCATATGTCTGACTGCTGGGTCAAGGATTAGGATCGATGATTAGAAGACAGAGTTTTTGTTCCCATGTGTCCCTACATATTTGTCTCATAGATATTGTTTTCATTATATCTGAGTGCTTAGAGTGGTTGGTCCAGGGGAACGGTAGTCAGAATAATTTTGAAGAGTGTCATACATCAGCAAATATGCTGTATTAATGACTTTATGGCCTCAAGGAGGCAGCGCATATGTTTCAGCATCTTATGGACTTTGTACTGGGTGGCATGCCGTTCTTGTTTGTCTACTTGGATGACATCCTTGTGGAAAATGCAGATGCGAAGGACCACCTTACACATCTGTATATATCTATATCTATATCTAGATATAGATATAGATACAGATAACCGATTCATTCCCCATGCAGCTCGTATCATGCGGCTCTTGTCTGAAGCCCTGCGGGGAAAAGGGCCAAAGTATGAAGTGGACTGGTCCCCAGGGAGGAAGCAATCTTTCAATCCTACCAAGGTTGGATTGGCCAATGTAGCTCTGCTGGCATACCTGTCTCCCACTGCCCTGGTACCAATCACAACAGATGCATCAAATCTCGTAGTCGGAACAGTGTGAGTATTTGGTGCGTGGTGCCTGACAGACACTGGTCTTCAGCAGGTAGCTCCCAGACGACAAGAGGAAGTAACGCACCTTTGCGAGAAAGCTTTTTCCTTACCACCTCTCTCTTCCGATTCCTTCTGGAGGGCCACTAGCTCAAAGAGGCACCTGAGACGATCCAACACATAACTGCAGGGTGTAAGATGCTAGCAGGGAAAGCTTACATGGAACGCCATAACCAGGTGGCTGGAATAGTCTACCGAAACATCTGTGCGGAGTATGGACTGGAAACCCCAAGGTCAAAATGGGAAACACCTCCGAAGGTGGTGGAGAATGACCGAGCGAAGATTCTATGGGACTTCCAGATACAGACTGACAAGATGGTCATGGCGAACCAACCAGATATCGTGATCATAGATAAAGGGCAGAGGAAAGCCGTTGTAGTGGATGTAGCGATCCCGAGTGATGGAAACATCAGAAAGAAGGAACACGAGAAACTCGAGAAATACCAAGGGCTCAGAGAGGAGCTGGAGAGAGCCTGGAAGGTAAAGGTGACAGTCGTGCCTGTGGTGGTCGGAGCACTCGGGGCAGTGACCCCCAAACTAGATGAGTGGTTGCAACAGATCCCGGGAACAACATCGGACATCTCAGTCCAGAAATGTGCAGTGCTGGGAACAGCAAGGATACTGCGCAGAACCCTCAAGCTTCCTGGCCTCTGGTAGAGGACCCGAGATGAATGGGGGATGGACACCACCCGAGGGGTGAGACGAGGATTTTTTTTTTATTTATGAATGACAGGCATTTCAACGTCAGGTGGCGCAGTTACTTGAAGTTACAGAGCACAGGAAGGGAGGGGGAGACGATGAGAGAGGGAGAGAGACAGAGGGAGATATCTTAAGGGGTGTTCACACG